GGCCTGCGCGGGTGTCCAATTCCCATAAAGCGCCTGGAAGCTATGTGCCAATATTGTGCCTCAAAAACGTTTAAAATGCATCGTGTTCTTCGTGAAAATGCAAATATTTGACGAAAATATGAATCAGTTGGACTCCAGTGAATCCGGAATCCTCCTGGCTGAAACTGGATTCTTATTTACTGACTTGTACCTTTATTTATGTGTATGCGCATGTGAGAGTGTAACTGTGCGGAGGCCAGAAGAGGGCCCTGCATGGCCTGGAGCCATGAACTGCCACGTGGGTGCTGGGAACCGAGTCATCCTAGTCCTTTCCATCCTGCTTACTCATGCGGTGCCAAGCTCACCAGGTTCACATGTGCCCAACACGCCGTTTCCCGTGTGTTTTTTCACCCTGACCCCATTTCCTCCAGGTTTTCCCGAATTTTCCCTCTTTTCTTTGCACACCGTCGGGAATATTAAATAAACCGTTTTTTTCCACATTTTCCTGACTAGTAAATCATTTTTCTGGAAATGTCCCTATTTATGAAAACAACCATTTTGTCAAATTTTCAGTTTTATTTTCAAATTTTCTCAGATTTTTCTGCACATTCAACTAGGTTTTTCTCAAACTTTTCCTGAATGTTCCATAAACTTTTTCCTCGCATTTTCCTGAACACCAAGTTAGGGCTTTTTCTCAAATTTTCCTGCAGGTTGAACAAACGTCTCTTCTGAAATTTTCCCTCCGGTTAAATCCATCGTTTTTGTTCATGTCCCCTGAATATCAAATAAACTGTTTTCGTCCAATTTCCTTAAAAATTAAAGACATCATTCTTCTCAAATGCGCCCATTCACGGTGACGTCGGTGGATTTCGTGGGAAAATCTGACCAGCCCCCCTCCCCCGCTGTCCGTTTATGACGTCATAGCCCGATGACGTATTAGGCTGCACCACTCACACTCTGATGACGTACTAAACGTCAATCACTCACACTCTAGCCTGATGACGTATTAAACAGCCCTCCGTGGTTCCTGCGTCCACTTCCTGCTCGACTTCCGGCCCGACTTCCTCTGTGACGGACAGGGACCCGGAGGCTGAAATCCGTCCTTTCCTCCCACTTACCACAGCAAAAGCAACCAAGCAATGAGTACCCCGTACAATAACCAAGCTGCTTCGAGAAGTACTCAGCCCCAGGAAGACAGTACTCAACCCCGGAGGCCAGTACTCAACCCCGAAGACAGTACTCAATCTCAGAACAATACTCAACCCCGAAGACAGTACTCAATGTCAGAACAGTACTCAACCCCGGAGGACGACAGTACTCAACCCTAGAAGGACAGTACTCAATCTCAGTACTCAGAAGTGAGGGCAGTGTGTGCAGTCCACGCAGACTCGGGTTCTCAATCTCGGTCCCCAAATAACCCAGTTTAGATTTTTGCGAAGCTTTGCCGTTGAGTGTTGCGTTGTTTTAAAAATATTCTGTTTCCTGGGGACGCATGTGCCAACCTGCACGTATGTGAGCACACGTGTGTCTGTGGTGCTGCGGAGGTCAGAAGAGCGCGTCGGATCCCGGGAAGTGGGGTTGCGGATGACTGTGCCCCACCATGCGGGTGCTGGGAACTCAGTCCTCTGCTGGTGCAGCCGGTCTCTCCCCGCTGAGCTGCCCCATAAAACACAGGTTTAGACGGGACGGACAGGAAACCCGTTCCCAGCAGCCTCGGCGAGAAGGCAGGCGTCCCGCAGGGCCCACGACGTGCTCGGGCAGGAAGTGCTGGGCCCAGGGACTGAGTTCCAGTCACAGCACCCACTTAAGAACTCTTCCCCCGAGAACACTCGCATACATGCCCATCTACACGCGCACACACGAGCACACACATCTGCCCCTGCACACACGGACAGATGCACAGAGATGCACAGTGCATGCGTACACATGCAGACACGCATCTGCTTGCACACAGATGTACATGCACACACACGCATTCCTTACACTCACGCGTGCATAGACATGCACATTTGCACACAGGCATACACACACGCGCACACAGGTGTGCATCAGAATTCGTACACACGTAGACGGACATCTGCATGCACCCACACCTACATCCACAATGCACAGACGTGCACATGCGCACGCATGCACATCTGCACACATACACACGCGAACGCACACACGCACATGTGCATACATACGCACACGCATGCACATCGGCAGACATCCACGCACGTACATACGCGCACCCGCACACGCCCATCCTCCCGGCTCTCCGCGGCCAGGCCGGCTCCGCCAACCCACTGAAAGCCGCCCTGCGCCCCGCTTTCCTGCCCTGGAAGGGCTGTACGTGCTCAGGTTCTCCCGAGGGTGCTGAGTGCTTAGTGATAACTTGCTAACTGACGACGTCATGAACGAATCGGTCCATCCGGGTGCTCGCTCTCGGTACTCCCGGTGCTCGCTGTCCGTGCTCTCGGTGCTCCCCGGCTACCCAACGCAGGCAGCTTTCAGGAGGCTGCGCGCCAGGATCCCCCGTCCGGAGCAGACTGGCAGGAGTCCCGACCGCATTCCTGAAAGGCGGCTTCCGCCGGGCGGGGCGGGAGGGGGGGCGGG